GGTGATGGGTTAAAATGAGATCGGTCCCTTGTTTGACATTTCTGATCTGTGCCAAAAACACAATTTTCATGTGCTTTCAAAAAAAAATAAAAAAAATAAAACAAGCAATGTCTTTTCCTTGCCCCATTCATAGAGGGACTGCTTTGTGTCAGGGTTCACCAAAGTGGTCAGTATTGTCCCCCAAAGGTCAATGGATCTGTCCAAGAGGTCATTGTTGTTATTTGTAGTACTGTTAAAGTAATATTCATTAAATTATTCTCATATACATGTAATAAATGATCGGGGCTCAATGAACAGTCTAAAACATCATGAAAGGGTTAATGAGCTTAAGAGTTTGAAGACCCCTGCTTTATCTGAAAAGACTGTAACAGTAGTGGTTTATCGAAGCCCTAATGAATTCATGTTATTATATTATATTATTATATCATCATCATCATCATCATCATCATCATCATCATCATTATTATTATTATTATTATTATTATTATTATTATTATTATCTAAGTGCTCTGATGAATACAGTGCAAGTAACCAGCAACCCAGACTTTCCAATGCCTATGCTGAAGGGGACATAAACTAGGAGGTTGGCCTTTTCAATGGTAGCCCCCACATTGTGGAATATGTTGCCACAGAAGATATTATTGGTTTCCACCCTCTCCTAATTTAGGTAAACCTTAAAACCAACTTGTTTCATCAGGCTTTTAGACCTTAAGATAATTGTATATGTCCATCTATGCCTACAATTATATAATGTTATAAGGCCTCGAGTTGTTATATTCTTTTTATTAAACCAAAACGGTTCCTAGAAATATAAACAAAATGTGCATATAACTATAATTTAGAGTTGTCAAGTATATTGACTCGTGGAAAAACTGGCCTGCTAATACCAATTGCTTGATCATTTCAGCTTTGCTTTTCCTTCAGCGTATACCTATGCTTTCTTTAGTATTGTGTCTGAATGGGAGAACTCTAGCTTGTTCTTGTCTTCAAACACAAGGTATGGTATAGTATATGTGAGGGTTATATTCTTGGCTTATGACTCTGGCTTATTAGGAGAGAAACAAACCTCACCTTCTGATTTCTTTGCAATACTAAGCAAACCAAAGTCAGGACTTCCATGATTTAACAGAATTGGAAGGGACCTTGGTGGTCTTCTAATCTACAGTTCCCCAATCTTTTTGACTTTGCAAACTGGCTGGGATGAGGGGAGATAGGATAGTTCCAGGCATGCAGTGGGCAAGTGCTCTCGCCGTGCAGCTCCATTTGCGTGAGCAGCGGGCACATGTGTTCATGTTTTATGCAAATGGAGCACACTTGCATGTGCTCGCATGCTGCTCATACAAGTGGGGATGCATGCATACACTCACCCTCCATTTCTGCGGCCCAGTTCCAAAAGGCTCAAGGCCGAGGAGTGGGCCACAGCCCGGGGGTTGGGGACCCCTGTTCTAGTTCAACCCCATTCAAGCAGGAGACCCTATACCATTCCGGAATATTCTGGAAAACCTCCAGTGATAGAGCACCTACAACTTCTGCATGCCCAGCTGTTCCACTGAAATTGTTCTTACTGTCAGAAAATGTCTCCTTAATTCTAGGTTGGATCTCTCTTTAATAATCTTCCATCCATTTGCAACAACAACCATGCATAGGCATATTAACTCATTCATATTAAGCTAAAATGCTTCAGAATTCTGGCTTATGGTGATACTGTACATTAATTCAGGGAATAGTAACACATTCCTAAGCCAAATACTTTGTGGGCACCTCCTGCCACAAAGCTGCTGGAATATTTTGGTTTATTAATGCAGTGATGCTTTTGACTAGAATGTGACTGAGAACATTAGTTCAGTTAAAGCCTTTCCCAACATGCCTGTAAACTTAAGAGTCATTGGTAAATAAATAAAAGTGTAAAAAGCTGTAGCTGGTTTCACTCAGAAGTAAACTATGGATGCCAAGCCATCAGTCGCATCCTTAAATGCCACCAAAATTAAATGAAAATTAAAACCTTTAAAAAGGCTAACATTTCTCACGAGGCTTAAATATGAGGTTGATTCTGACATATGACTAATCACCAATCTAAGATCCAGGATCAAGTTCCAGGAGGCTGTTTCACAGGAAGCTCATTATAATCTAGACTCAAATCAGTCATTACAGAAAGGTCAGCATGATATGAATAATTATTGAGCTAAGGGG